GATCATGGCAACTACTTGTGAGTGCCCAGGGTACAGACAACATGTTAACTCAGTTGCTTGCTGCCTATTTGAATCCTGGCTCTGATATTTTTTCCAGCTTTAGTGCTCTGTGCTTGTTTCTCATGTAACTGGTAATACTAATATTCTTACTTCATAAGGTTGTTGAAATGATTAAACAAAATAATGTAAAGAACTATGTGGAGTGCCAAGCACATACTAAAGGCTCAATAAATGCTGGGTATTACAACTTGCTTTAATAAGATGATAGTGCAGAGACACAAAGATTTTATGTGTGTAAGAGATTGAAAGGAAACCACCACATGAGCAAAGACCATACTGGCCTTAGAAATTATTTTTTGAAGTTTTCATTTGAATAATAGTATCAGCATATTAATTTGGAGTTAGAGATATCCTTACATTTCTATAAAGTTACTTTTGGCTCTATTTTTTAATTTTATAATTGGAATGGCTGTATCCTCTCAGGCCAGTCTTTTATGTTCTCTTCTAGATTTTTATCAGGTTGCAAGATAAGATGCCTAGTCAGCTGTGGCAAACTCCACTTCTTGGTCATGGGCCACAGTAGAAAGGGACAAGCCACACATTTTAAAGGTCTGTTGTCACTCCTCTCTGGGGATGGTCAGGCTCTGGAGCTCTCCTAGAGGGAAGGTCATCCCAGGGCCTGCTCCCTGTTTTCAATGTAAGTTAGGACAAAAAGGCCCCAAAGCTGCTATCACCTGCTTGTGGTGGCACCCCTTAAAAACCACAAGGTTAAAATATAAGGAAGATTTTTTCCCCTAACCTTCAGAATTAGTTTTAAGAGGTCTGGATATCTTTTTACAAAATGAATGTTGAATCCAAGTGTGTGTGTGAGAGAGAAATAAGAACAAATACATCCTTTTCCCTGATGGCTGAGTGGCTGGCATTTCTAGTGTTCCTGAAATGATTAATCATTCATGAAAAACGTCTTAGCAGTTAAGTCATTAAAGCTAACGGCAGAGATGGCTCTGTTCCCTCACGTATCAAGGGTGCTGTCCTTAGGCAGCTCTGACGCTCACAGTAACAGGGTGAAGATCCAAAGTAGTAGAATTAAATTAAGCACAAGAGCTGAACTAAATTAAGCACCATTTATTAATCATTTATCTATATCTTACCATGTTAAAGGATTTAAGGCAACTAGAATTTCATCTCTAGGGTTGAGAAACATTATGTTTATAACTAAGTTACATTTACTATATATATAAAAACAGAACTCCTGGAATAAGAGAAATATTCTGATATTATTCAGGGCACCTAATATCTTAATAGTAAAGTAATACCATTCCTGCATCTCACTACATGTTTATCACTCTATACCAGAACTAATGCAAAAAACTGTAGTTACTTTGATCTCTTAAACCCAGATTATATTTTTTAAAGTACTACCAATGGGGAATAATTATATATTTTAGTAAAGGAATTAAAATCTAAGTATAAAGATGTTAGTTTTTTTAAGTGCTATTAATGTTGACTGATATGTTTGTAAATCTGCTCCTTATTTTAAGTGACTTATGAATAATTTAGTTCCCAAAAAAACCATCCTTTGGAATCTTAAAGCACACACAGGGAAAGTTAAAAAGTTCAGTTAAGTAATTTGAGATGACTGATTTCTACTTCCTGAATGATTTTATATGTTTTAACACTCCTGTTCAGTAAAAGTAATGATTATAGCAGTTCTTAAACACTGATGGCATCAGAATTACCTAGAAGACTTGATAAAATACAGATTGCTGGATGACAACCCCAACATTTCTGATTCTGTAGTAGGTCTGGGATAGAGGCTTAAACTTTGTATTTCTCTTAAGTTCCCAATTGATGCCGATACAGCTGGCCTGGTGACCACATTTGAGAACCACTGCTTTATATATAGGTTAGAGACAACTAAGGTTAATTAACGTTATCACCTGTAGCTCTTGCTGCCTCAGTGGAATGATCACAGAACACTTAGAACTGCTGACTAGAAATATAAGTTCACCAACTATCTAAGCAGCTAGAATAAAATATAGATTAAAATATCAGAAGAAAATACTACAAATTCAGAGTATGAATATACTCTGAAATATAAAATTGAATTATTTCAATGTCTTAAATGTTTGATCATTAATTTCTTTTCAGAGCTTTGCTTCCTATTAGTAAGAGATCCTTTAAAATCCTTTCATATTAAACAAAAGAGGATTTTTACATTAAATGAAAAAGAAAAAAGAGTCTGAGGTCATTTCATATATGTCAATCATTCTCTAATATTTAGAAATTTCTTAAAAGACCAGCCTATTCACTGACCAGATAAATTTTACATTATCTAATTCTATAAATAATTGGAAAATAATTAACTTTTAATAATAAAAATCCTATACCTTTTTCAATATTAGGTAAACATTATCACAATAAGTATCCTCTTCAGCAAATATTGATGTAGTTGGGTTGTTATATTGACTGCTAACAGAAGGTCTGTTTTATAAATCTGACAAAAGGTAAATTTAATATATATTTTTTAATTTTTGAAAATGATTTCTACAGTTGGTGTTTTATATTTGATGAATAAATGAAATTAGGTTATCATAAACCAGAGATATCAATATTTTTCCCACAATGTGGCCTTTAGAAAATCTGCAAATGTACATGAGAATTTAGGAATAGGAATGGCTTTTTTCCCTGTCTCTCTGGAAGTACACTGCTCTTAGCTATACAATGCCAATGAATACCATTAACGTGTACAAGGGTCCTCAAACTTTTTAAACGGGGCCAGTTCACTGTCCCTCAGACTGTTGGAGGGCCAGACTATAGTTTAAAAAAAACTATGAACAAATTCCTATGTGCAAATTCCTATGCACATATCTTATTTAGAAGTAAAAAAACAAATGGGGAAAAACACCTGCATGTGGCTTGCGGGCCACAGTTTGAGGACGCCTGGTGTACAACTTGTGAAATAATGGCATCTATTTACAGACACAAGGACAAAACAATCTGATTGGTTTTATCTCCCCATTTTGCTGACCATTAGTCTTATACTCTACCTACCAGTCATTAAAGGGAGTTTTCAATCTTTTAGAAGATTATTGTTTGAAGACTATAACTTGGCTAAAGTCTTGTCTAGCAAGATGGTACAACCCAGAAAAGATGCTGTTACTTTAATTTGCTGGTAGATACAACAGCTGGTCTGCAGCGGTTAAAATAATTCAAAATAAGCTAATAACATGCTAGTAATTCCTACCCTTGTACCATATGATTTGTAGTTAAGGGCATATAAAGCTTCAATGACAATTGCAAAGAAGTTGTATTTGTGAAAGTTTCATGAGGTGCCAGGACAGTTTGCACTTAATAGACAGTGCAGCATAGTAGGAGTGTGGACTAGGAAGATAGAATTCCTGAGGATGAAACGTTAACTTTGCCACTGCCTAATTTTGTGAACTTAGGCAAGTTGTTTAACATTATTTGCCTGAGCAACTCATCTCTAAAACAGAGATACAGGTAACAATTATACTTATTTCAAATGGTTGCTAGGAGAAACAAATGAATTAATATATGTAAAATGTTTAGATGAGTTCCTGGATATTTTTATTATATGTATATATATAATTATATTTTTTGTTATATAAATTTATTATATATAAATATTTTATGTATTTTATATATAGTTAATATATATTAAATACTATATTAGTGTTAGCAATTATCATTTTTATCGATTCCTTCATTTAAAAAATCATTCTATGGTCTCCTTTGTCTCATCATATATTCAGGTTTCAGTGCTGCCAAATTTCTACTGCTTCTATTCCTATTCTCAAACCTTAATTCTAAAGTTTAGAATCATTAGATTAACTGAATATTAATGGCTACCATATTCTTAAATATTGTAATTATAGTTTAAACCATTCATTAATTCATTCTTTCAACACTTTATTGAAACAGAAACAAATGTCTCATTTTATTTTTTTTTGCCAGCAGATTTAGACCTCAATACTAAATTTAATGCACAGTTAACTCTGATATAAATTGAAATACAAGATAATAAAAGGTTAGGTATCATATACTTGACAAAAGTTAAGTGTTAACATAAAAATAATACCAAACAGAAATAAAATGTTTCTCCATTTTGTGCATTAACAATGATCCACCCCAACATCTTGTGTCTTCTATAATGAATAAATTTCAGGCCTTGAGGCCTTAAAGACTGCTGGACTTAAGGCATTTTTTGTAGTTACAAAAGCTTTTTAGCTGATCGTTATATTGGTGGGCTGCAGTGGGAAAAGGGCCATTGCTGATGCTTGTATATTTGCCAACCTTGTTTAATTCTTACAGAAGTGAGAAGAAGGTGTCACAGGAAGCGGATTTTGTGTAATATCATCAACTGAAGTGATTTACACAAACCTTTGGAGGTGTTCACAGGAATCAAAACTGGTAAAATCCCTCCTCGTCCAGCATCTGGAATATCCTTCTTATATTCAACTGGTACTTGTGGTGGAGTAAATTATTGGCCCTGATTCTCCACCTGTATCTATGCCCTCTGCCATGTAAGTTGGCAAGTTCTCCCATTCAAGGTGAAGTGTCCTTCCCTGTCTCCTTTCTTTGGGCTTGACCATTTGATGTACTTTGGCCAAATCATGTGGGTGGAAATGACAGTGTGACATTTCTCAGCCTAGCCTTTTCACCTTGCTCAACTGTAGTCGCCATAAGAGCTTCCCCTGAGAAGCTGCTTCCCCCTTAATTTGGGTCCCATAATAAGCCCATGTGGAAGAGACCAAAGCCTGACTTGCAGCAAAGTGCCTAGCCCAGTCCAGATTACCTGATTCTTAAGTGACTTAGATATCTGAAAAATATTTATTTCTATATGCTACTGAGATTTTATGGTTATTTGTTACATAGCAACAACTGGACTGATATACATTGAGTTTCAGGATTATTGAAAAGGCTTTATCTTTTAAAGAAAGCCAGAAGTAACTTCAAAAATAATTGTGGTAGATAATATGATTTTATGTACATTTTAAAGAGAAACAGCAAGCTTTTAAAAAAATTTCAATGGCATTTAGGAATGCTAATTAACTTGTGAAACAGTATCACAGATAATAAAGCAAATTTGCATTTGGTGTGTGCACTATAGGAAAGTACATAATGTGTACTCTTTAAGCTTGTTGGTTATTATTTTAATAATTGAAATTAAGTCTATGAAATTGTGTAACCAGAAAATTAAATCAATACTTTTATTAACTATAGAGTATATTCCTGGATGGATACTAGAATTTATAAAAGTATCCCTAATGACTTATGATTTAACTGCATTTTAACAATCATAGGACTACTATAACATATTTAATCAATAGAATCAAAAGGAAAACTTGTTGGAAAAAAACACAGACCATATTAAATAACTAATTAGTACGTTTAAAAGGACTTGACAATCATATTCATTATATGAAATTAAAGGCCATTAATTTCCAAATGTTAAAAAACTTTTCTTCTTTTATGAGTTCCCTCTAAAATTACAATGATGTAAGTACAACTTTGTTAACCAAAAAGTTTTAAAAACTGTATTTATAACCACTTATTTTTAACACTTTTGTGTTGATAAAACAACAAAACTTTAAGATTTCACCTAGCATCTATCCCATGGAAATCTTTCACAATTTAAATATCTTTTCTGAGAAAATCAGTGGTCTATTACATAGTATGAATAGAAGGGCATTATCAACTGAAACTGGCTGATTTTTAATATAGAAATGTGACCCAATATTTTATGTACAATTTAAGACTAAAAATTGAATTAATGATTAGAGATCAATTTAAAAATGATCATTTAAAATATTCTTGAAAGCCTTATAAGCACAAGATCTTGTATGCTTCCATATTTGGCAAATTGCTAAGGAATTGAATTATTTTTAACAGTTTCTATCTCTGCTGAGTTCAAGAGAATGCCTAGTCTCCATAAATAAAAAGTAAATAAAGGAAATGCATCAGAAAGTTGGAAAATAGTTTCATCATGCCTCTGAAGAAATTTCTTGATTTCTGGGTCATCATACCCTATACTTTTAGTGTTGCCTTCTTCGGTTTCCTTTTGAAGAAGCTGTTCCAGAACCCAGAACAGGAAGAAAATATTTTCGTAGCGTGTCACATCATAACTGGCCGGCTCCTGCAAATAAACAACAAATTCCTTTAAAAAAAAAAAACTGGGTGGATATTATACAAAATGAAAATACTTATTAAATACTTTCTGTCTTCTTGTCCCTTTGATTTGTGCTTGGAGTATAGAACAAAGCTAATTTCCCTTTTTTAAAATTTTACAATCTTGGTGAATGACTTTTCTTTCTTGATCATTTAAAAAACTCCAAATAATTAGTCTGCATTCTTGCTTTAATTTGTTACTCAGATGAATCTGAGAATACTTGGTAAAGAGTCTTACACATACTAATGTTGAGTGTTGAATTCAATCTTTTGCCAAAGGTTTCCAATGAATGATACTCCTGCCAGTGATAATATAAGAATCTTTGGGGACAGAATTTTAGAAACATGTTTGGATGTAAGACGGTCTTAAAGCATGCAGAGTTATGATTTGTAAGTGACCAGATGGATCACTACCTTAAATATTCCTGACACAAGTCAGGGAGGAGTACTGAATCAGATATATGGTCATGAGGAGAAATGTAGACATGCCTTGTAGAACTTATCATTTGGCCTATATGGCCAAATGTGAGCAAAGTCAAAGAAAGGCCTAAAATGTAGACTACTGCAAGCATAACATGAGAGAATAGAAGATTCAGTGTAAAAATAGCTTATTAAAAATATGTGGAAGCCTTATGAGGTAAGCAGAACATTTATCACCATTATATAGGCAAGGAAACTGAGCCTCTGTGAAGTAGTCTAACTAGAACCCAAGTCTCCGGATCCTAATCAGGGGCTTTTTTCTTATATATTTTGTTCAAGTTCATTAAAAAAGCATTACCATATTACTACGGGGGGGGGGGGAAAGAAACAGGTAGGAAACATTTACCAAATCTATTCACTGTAACAATATTTTTTTAGAGCCCAGAGGAATATATTCTTTAAAAAGGTGACCCAGTAAACAGAGTCCAGTATTTACAGGCGTATGTTTTCTTGTGCTCTGCTTTACTGTACTTCTCAGATATTGCAAGTTCTATAAATTGAAAATTGGTAGCAACTCTATATCAAACTAGTCTATCAGTGCCCTTTTTCCAACAGTATGTGCTCCCTTTGTGTCTCTGTATCAATATATTGGGAATTCTTGCAACATTTTGAATATTTTCACAATTGTATTTGTTATGGTGATCTGTGACCTTTAATGTAACTATTGTAATTGTTTAGGGGGCAATACAAACCATGACCATGTATGACAGCAAACTTCAATAAATGCAATATGTGTTCTCACTGATCCGCTAACCAGACATTTTTCATCCCTCTCCTCTGGCTTCCCTATTCTCTGAGATAAAACAATATTGAAATTAGGCCAATTAATAACTCTACAATGGCCTCTAAGTGTTCTAGTGAAAGTAAGAATCACATGTCTCTTGCTTTAAATCAAAAGCTAGAAGCAATTAACCTTAGTGAGGAAGGCATGTCAAAAGCTGCACTTGACTAAAAGGAAGACCTCTTGTGCCAAACAGCCGAGTGGTAAATGCAAAGGAAAAGTTCTTGGAGGAAATTAAAAGTGCTACTCCAGTGAACACATCAACGATAAGAAAGAAGAACAGCCTTATTGCCAATATAGGGAGAGTTTTATTGGTCTGGATAGAAGATCAAAGGCTAACCCAGAGCAAGGCCCTAACTCTCTTCAATTTTATGAAGGCTGAGAGAGATGAAGTTGCAGAAGAAAAGTCTGAAGATAGAAGAGGCTGGTTCATGAGGTATAGGAAAGAAGCCATTTTCAAAACATAAAAGTACAAGGTGAAGCATGAAGTGCTAAGGTTGTAACTGCAGCAAGTTATCCAGAAGATCTAGCTAAGATGAGGTGGTTACACTAAATAGAAAATTTTCAATGTACAAGATACAGCTTTCTGTTGGAAAAATATATCATCTAGGACTTTCATAACTGGAGGGAAGAAGTCAATGCCTGGCTTCAAAGGACAGGCTGACTCTTTTGCTGGGGCCAGTGTAGCTGGTGACTTTCAGTGGAAGCCAGGGCTCATTTACCTTCCCAAATATTGTATGTCACTTAATATTGCCAAATCTACTCTGCCTGTGTTCTATCAATGGAACAACAAAGCCTGGATGATAGCATATCTGTTTACAGCAAGGTTTACTGAATATTTTAAACCCACTGTTGAGACATAGTGCTCAGAAAAAAGATTATTGCTCTTTGACAACATACCTGATGACCCAGGAGCTCTGGTGGAGATGAACAGAGAGATTAATGCTGTTTCCATGCCTGCCAACACAGCAGTCATTCTGCAGCCCATGGATGGAGGAGTAATTCTGACTTTCAAGTCATCATTTAAGGAATACATTTTGTAAGGCTATAGCTGCCATAGATAGGGGTTCCTCTGATGGATCTGGGCAAAGTAAATTGAAAGCATTCTGGAAAGGATTTACTGTTACAGATGCTATTAAGAAATTCATGAGAGTTCAAAATATCAATAACAACACTAACAGGAGTTTAGAAGAAGTTGATTCTAACTCTCATGGATGACTCAGAGGGCTTTAAGACGTCAGTGGAACAAGTCACTTCAGGTATGATGGAAATATTAGAACTAGAAGTGGAGCCTCAAGATGTGAGTATATTGCTGCAATCTCATGATAAAACTTGAATGGATGAGCAAAAGAAGTGGTTTCTTAAGATAGAATTTATTCCTTGTGAAGATGTTATAAACATTGTTGGAAACAAAGAATTTAGAATGTTTCATAAACTAAGGTGATAAACCAGCAGCATTTGAGAGGATTGACTCCAATTTTGAAAGACGTTCTGTGGGGTAAGTGATAACAAACAGTATTGCCTGCTACAGAGAAATTTTTTGTGAATGGAAGACTCGATGGATGCAGAAACTTCATTGTCTTGTTTTAAGAAATCGTCATAGTCATCCCAACCTTCAGCAACTACCACCTTGATCAGTCAGCAGCCATCAACATCAGGACAAAATCCTCTATCAGCAAAACAATTATAACTTCTTCAAGGCTCAAATAATCATTAGCATTTTTTAGCAATAAGGAAATTTTTAATTAAAGTAATACTGTTTTTTAGACAATACTACTACATACTTAAGTTATAGTACAGTATAAACACAATTTTATATATTCTGGAAAACAAAATAATTTGTGTGACTTACTTTGACATTTGCTTCACTATAGTGGACTGGAACCTGCATTATCTCTGAGGTATGCCTTTTACAGATAACTGAATACAAACAAATATTTTCCTTGGAGTTTTGTAATAAGACATCCTTCTCTGAGACAACACCGCACATGCTCCCCCCAAGAAGCAGCCACTATATTTTTGCTGTGAAAACTGAGCCACCACTTTTCCAACCCTGCATGTACCCTGACTCCCAAACCTTGGCCATGCCGCAAGCGTCCACATTCCAGGTGCAGGCTCTATGGCTGCAGTACATCTACCCAGGTCTTAGACACTGGAGCTGTCATCACAGTGAACTAGTTCGTACTCTGGGTTCTGGAGCCATGGTCTCTCTCTCAGCTGCCATAGAAAGCTAGGCCCTGCTCTGACTCTGGAGTCACAGAAACTCTGAGCACGCCTCCGATCTCATTCTTGGCTGTCCAGTAGTCACCTTTCACAATCACCTGTACTTTCATACTATTAACAACACGGTAGTGGGTACACTTGTGCCCTAAGACCCAGTGCCATTACTGCTCCAGACCTCAGAGCTGCAGTCCTTTCCTGCAGGCCTCAGCTCTGTGCTTGATTCACTCAGCAGATGCTGGTGCCACTGCCACCATGAAAGTGCTCACAGGCTGAACCCAATGCCACAAGGGATTGTTGCAGATACAACTTCCTATGGTAGGAAAAAAAGAAAAGACTGAGAGGACCTTAGCAGCTATTACAACCAATGCCCTCAACAACCCTTGTCACAATTGTGGACATGCAGTGTTTGCTGCTAAGGATGCCTTCAATCTTCATCAATACTAACATCAGCTGTACAGAGACTAGATAGCTGCACTGGTCCTAGAATATCTCCACCTCACACAGCAAGCGACCTTGTGTACCCTCCCTCCACAGGAGATGGTCTTTTTACACCAAAATTAGCCTCTAAAGTCTAGAAGAGGTGACTACTCCACAAAATGCATAGACATAAATGGAAAGTGGCAAGAAGCACAGAAAACCTAGAAGACATAGCACTTTAAAGAATACAGTTTCTTAACACAATTTCTCAATAGCTTACCCCATTAAATACAGAGAGATAATTCATCAAAATCAGGAAAACAATAAATTAACAAACTGACAAATTTAACAGAGATTATAATAATTTAAAAAATTTGGATTTGAAAAATACAATGAATGCAATAAAAAATGCAACTGATATTGTCAACAGTAGAATTCATCAAGTAGAGAAACGGAATCCATGAACTTGAAGACAGCCTATTTGAAAATACACAGCCAAAAGGAATAAAGAAAAGGAATCTTACAGTATTTATGGGACACCATCAAAAGAGCAAATATTCTAATTATGTTCAAAGGAAGAAAAGATATATATATATATATAAAGGAAAAGAAAAATTATTTTAAAAAATAGTAGCTAAATACTTCCCCAATCTAGGGAAAGATATTGTCCAGTCACATAAAAATCAAGGGTCTCCAATCACATTCAATCCAAACAAGATTTTACCAAGACACATCATCATCAAATTGTCAAACATTGAAGTCAAAGAGAGGATCATACGCTGGGTGCGGTGGCTCACACCTGTAATCCTAGCTCTCTGGGAGGCCGAGGCGGGCGGATTGCTCGAGGTCAGGAGTTCGAACCCAACCTGAGCAAGAGTGAGACCCCGTCTCTACTATAAATAGAAAGAAAATTAATTGGCCAACTAATATATATAGAAAAAATTAGCCGGACATGGTGGCGCATGCCTGTAGTCCCAGCTACTCGGGAGGCTGAGGCAGCATGACTGCTTGAGCCCAGGAGTTTGAGGTTGCTGTGAGCTAGGCTGACGCCACAGCACTCACTCTAG